ATATATGTCATGAAAGGCTTGATTTTAGAATTACAGACTATTGCGTGTGCTTGAAATTTTATATTAATTTAATATTTTAAGTCTCGAAAAGACGATAAACTTGTCAAAAAACTTTTAACTTTTCTCTAAATTATTTAATTCGTTGATTCTTTTCTTTTTTCTTCCAGAAAATTGATTAATTCTACGTATTACATGGAAAACTTGGAAGTAAAAATAATTTATATTTAAAATAACTTCACGATTATATTGAACCTGTTAGAAAACGTATTTATATTTTATGAAAACGTAATATTTTTTAAATTATAAATAATAAAAGAAAAATGTTTTGTTGAAAGAACCTAAAAATATACCATTATTATACCTGATAACATATGTATGTGATAATTAATTTAAATAAACTAAAAAAATTACTTTTTTTATTTCACTAATTTAAAATTTTAAAAATTGAATATTTTTAGATGTAATAAATACATTTTTTGTATAAATTTAATTATAAATAAATTGGATAAAAAATAAAATGCTCTGATGTAATATCAGATTATAAAAAATTAACGCTGGTCGCTATTCTATTATGAATAAATAATAATTTTAGAAATAATATCAATATTGGGTATATGTATTTAAATATTACATGATGAAAGAAAACCGCGTTCCATAAGCATCATTAATATTTTGAGCGAATGTAATAATTTTTGAATGTAAATAATTTTCATATGAACGATATATTTATATCATAATAAAAGATTAAAAAAAGATTATTAGTAATTATGAGTATAATAAATTTAAATTAATTTGATTTATTTTTAAATTATTGAAAAAATATCACTACTATAAACAAATATTTTCATTATATGTAGTTTCCAAATTATCGAAACATAATGTAAACAATATGATAAATTTATTGCAATATTAAATTATTTCAAAATAATGTATATCTGTAAAAGCAATCGCTATAAATATTTTAGATTTTTTTTTTATCAAACAGAATGAGACAAACATATCAGATGATATGTGAAATTTTGTTAATAAAAAAGCGAAAATGTGATTCGTAATTTCTGCATGCAAGTATAATATGTGTATTGTATGCATTGTTACAATTTTCTGAATGTTAATTACAATGAAATTGAATGAAATTGCAAATCGCAAAAATTTTCTTCAAGAAAATTTATTTATTCTTAATTTAATTTGAAATGAAGTATGATATGTATACATATATATATATATATATATGTGTGTGTGTGTGTGTGTATATATATATATATATATATATAAAATGCGATACAAAAATATATTGTCAACGAACATTATAGTAGTAAATATTAAGTTTCAATCTTATCAAGTTGAAACACTGGCCTCGAAACAGCAACATGCAATGAATTTTGTTTAGTACATACTTATTTAAGCATAGCGATATCAATTTTGACCTACATATTACTATCTCGCATATTATAAATATCGCAAAGAAATCCTGGCTAGTATCAGTTTTTTACTAACAACTAACGTGTCCGACAAAGAGCGTTATTTAATAATAGCTTAAACAAGAAGATTCTAAATGCATCAATAGCACAATAATCTAGGAATATTTTCATCTAAGAATATATGTTTTATATTTATTCGTCTTTGGCTACGGTCTACTTAATGCTACAAGTGCTTCGAAGAATTTTTTGATTGATTAATTAGTCCTTCTTCCGAATGGTCAAATACTTCGAAGCTTTTATAACGTCACGTGGACTGCACCATTTATTACTTAGTTTCAAATTAGTTGTATTTTTTTGCTAGCTTTTGAATTTATTGAGTTTAACACATATAATCTGACTGTTTAAGTTTGACCAAGCTCGATGTTGCCGCGATATTTGGAGAGAGTTATGGAATTAAGCATTTAACAAAAAATGTCGACCTGTGATTATTATATAAAAATACCGCGTTTGTGTTGTGTGCAATCGAGACAGCATTTGTTTCCATTATACGCTGCATATATTGTATTCCCATCGTCAGCTCATCAAGTATCTTACAATGGTAACATTAGAGTTCGACGATTTTTAGTCGAACACGCTCAAATACAATTCAGGAAGTAAGCCTCCTCGATTTAGCATAAATATAAATATGCTGTGTAACGCGGCGTACTTAAACGAAATAAGATCCACATTGTTAAATGCATTCAATCATGTATGACGAGTCGTCGCGATTGCCGCATTCTAATATAAGATAGCACAATGGCGAAACGAAGTGATCGGCGTCAACGTCATTAAACCGTCATAGTACGTAATGAGCATGTATGTTAAAAAAATATATTCCCGACCCGTATATTTATAAAAGTGAGAGTGAGAGATTGCAAATTGTTAACGTATAATAATTATGGGGTCTCACAATATTACGTTAAGATATAGATAAATGTGTGCATTGTATCTGATAGCTCTGTAGTTTCACCGATACACGTTCATCTCTCTATATAAATGAGCCGATATATACATACATACATACATTAGGATTCACCGAGAGACGTGAGGCCGCACGGGCATTTGTTTCGCCAAAAAAGAAGGATAAAGAAATGATCTGTCATCGTTTAGCATGTAACCCAGAGTACTATAGCGTACCACATGCGTTCATTGTATGATTCTTACGGATGTTTAAATCCAATATTTTTGCGCGGAAAAATACTGTATGTAAAAATCTGTAAGTGTCATACTCTCTCTCTCCCTCTCTCCCTTTCCCTCCTCCCCCTTCTCCCCCATCTCTTTCTCTCTTTCTGACAGGCGTTTAGATTCAATATTTTAACCATAACACTCACAAACATCTCTGATAGCCTATTTTTATAAACAAGCAATAGTTAACGGGTAGCTTCTCGAGACCTTACTTGGCATCATTTCGCGCCTCTCAAATTGTTTGGAAATATGTAAGATGAGCAGATAGAAATTCGAATTCAAACCGCTGCCACTTCCAGTGCATTCTTAATTTATAACAAATAACATACAAAAATAACAAATTGATAATTTTATACTTGAAATCCATACTTGTAAGTGCATCGATGGCAGTGCGATCTGAATATTTCAGTCTGTCGCGTTGTCCCATGTTGAAAGAACAGCTATATGTAACAGCGTGAACATAAAACTATCACAGTGGCAGGGTTTGTGACCGGTGATTTTTGATAATTTTCCATGACACGAAGATACCTTTGCACGCGAACTGTAATTCAATCGAATGAGGAAAACGACGGATAAACTATATCATTGTGACTTTATATATGTGCGACTTCGTATATCTATGTAAATAAATATACCAAGCTCTTGAGACTGATATGTCGTTCACCTTCTTTTTTTTCAGGAAGTAAAGTGCAACAGCAAATAGCAGAGACAAACGAGATTATTTGTTTGTTAATAATTTATTATAATGGCTTGGTACCTATACATTTCTTAACATAGACAATCATCACAAATAACGTGTAAAGTGGATATACACCGCGTACAAAAGGCGCAAAATGTCGATAGAGTTTTCTTTTTTTTCTTCTTTGTCCTACGTTAATAATCATCGTAATATAAAATCGCGATGAAATCAGATATGTAGAAATTGTTTCTTTAATCGAGTGTTATAAAAAATGTGCATGTACAATAGCGCTAATAGTGAGCGCTAATTGTGTACGCAATGCACATCCCGATACTTTCGCAATGCATGCGTCTTACTGTTTGCGCGTGTACGAAGAAAGATGACCGATATATTTATTCGTTTTGAGAAAATTCATATTTTATAAAATAAAAAAAAATTGATCGTGGCGTGATTAAAATCTAATTTATCTCTAAAATATTCGTCAAAAAATCTTTTCTTGTCAATATATTAACATTTTTCTTGACGTTATGAAATTATAACTCTTTTAAAACATATATTAAATATAACGCTGTTTTAAAATCAAAACTCCGGCTTTGCCCGCTAAGGGCAAAGGGCGTGAGCACAGCGCTCAGAAAGCGTTCATCGCAGTTTTTATTTGTTTTAGCTCCAAGGCCGTTCACCTCGAGGTGAACCCCGCTAGAAATGTATCTAAAGAAGAATCGCAGAAATTGGAGATTACATAGAGCACAAAGATGTGTCGCGTGATTACCGTCGGTTTCCAATTCGACGTGAGAGAAGAAGGAAATCCCTTGCTCGAACATCCACTATTATTGCACGCGACAATACTAGCATCCTCACACGCGCGGTTTAATATGGAAAAGATCTACTTTACATAGATATTTATTACTTCAACTATTCTGGTCAGCGAATGGACTTTTGCAATTTTCGAAAACGTTTTTCCATTACTCTTTGTACTCGTCATGATACATGTAAAAGCAGACAAACACAAATCTGCTTTTACAGCAGGATTTTAACTTTATATGAAATTCCTTATAATCGCGATTAAGGTCTGATCCTAAATCTTGATCATAGAATATTAAAAAAAAAATCATTAGTTTTAATTTCTTCGATCATCGTTGTGACTGCATAGTTTCATTACACGAATAGAATTTGCCAAATAAAGATATCGAATCTGAATTAAAAATAAAATTAACTATACAATAAATTGAATTATTAGTATAAACAAAACTCAATTTTCGTATCCGAATGGAAAAAATTTTTTGCTTATATAAACTAATGAAAACAAATAAAAATCCCAAATCAAGTTAAACTCTAATATGCAGTTTAAAAAAATATGCAATAATTTTAAAATTAATATTTCATCTTTTCTGTCATTTTTCATGGTAAGCTTATTATACTCCTTTTTTGGTATAGATTAACAATTGGTATCCTGTACATAACACACCAATTGCGTAATGCAGGTGAAGTGACACCGTGTCCTTAAAATAAGCGGAGTATTAAACAATTATTGCATAAATCAATGAGCGAGTGATTCGCACTGAGTATCCCGACCCGGCTACTGGGTGGGGGTGATCGCGAGCAAAAAACGCAGTTTTTTTTCTATCGCTATGAGAAACTATATTGTCGTCACACTGAAAAAGTATGCAGCACGTTGTCTATTCGCTGTGAAATAAAGTGTAACGAAGCGCGCGTGTCCAACGGATCGTCCGCTGTGTTCGTCGACTCATCATCGATCACGATCGCGAGACCGCCGTTGCCGAGAGAGATGGACATTTTCCCAGCAATCGAACCGTGTTGTTGGCCATCGATTCGTTCTTATTAACATGTGAATATCATTCTTATAGAATCAAAGCCGCCTGGCATCCAACGCCTTGTTGAGGTCACTGACTAGCATGCCGAGAATGGGTCTATGTTCAGAGTCGTATCGGAACACCGAGTCCAAAAATTTGGGATACGCCAGAAAGTCGAACACCTGGTCGCAACGCTGTGACGACTTGTCCGTAAGATGCGGTTTTATTAACTGCTGGAGCAACGTTCGGCAACGTTCCATTGAACCTGTTAGGTACTCCTGGTCGTAACTATAATCCACCTCGTAGAATGATACGACAGTCATCGCCACTGTCCCCAGAGCCTCTCGGATCTCTTCCAGCTTCTCGGCGTCGTTCGAACGGAATTGATGACTGCGCTGCACGAGTCCAATCTACGAATTGCATTCCACGAGTTAATTTATGCATTCATTGAAATTAATATCATATAAATACAAAATTAATTGTGCGTTTAATTTATACTATACGCCCAGCAAACGAGAATGGATTGAAATGAATTGAAATGGACTCAGATTTTCAGAAATATTGATTCATGAATGTTAAAATGAATGCTTTTCAACTTTAAATGCATTTTTATTCATTTATAGGAATTGCATGGAGCTTACCTCTATGCTTTTCAATCTAAAAATAATATTAGCTTTTTCTGTGCACACACATTGTGAATATTGTTCAATTCAAAATTTTGAATACGAAATGCAGTTTTTCAATCCAATTGAATCCAATTGAATCCAATTAAATCCAAAAAAAATATTCGCTATTTAAAATACACATTCGGGTAGAAAAAAATTTCAATCCATTTTAATCCATTCTCGTTTGCTGGGCGTATAAGTAGCTAATTATTATGTTAATTATTAGCATTTAATAATAATTATTCCGGTTTTATCATTACATACAGGTGAGGTAAAGTAAAAAATGAGATAAAAATTTTCGAAGTAAATGTGTCTGCATTAAAATAAATGTATTTATTATTTCAAGTTGATTAAATGATGCTAATTATTAAATTTTTAATTATGGAAGATACAATTCAAAACAGTTCATTGAACAGTTTATGTTGATGTTAATTATATTTTACATTTAAGTTGTTCCTTTAAGATTTTCAATTTGAGACATCTATAAGTTTGCAGAAATAAATATTACAATATACAATTTCTAATGATGCTTTGTCCTTCTCAATCAGCTTGAAACTTATTGCAGGATCTATCATCAAAATTAAAATCTGATTCTGAAATGCTTTATATATACCTTGATAGACAATTTGACAATGTTCTTGAGGACCTTTTCGGGCTCCTTCTTGTCCAAATGTGGGTTGCTTTTGGTGACGCTTTCCATCAGTTTGTAGAGATTATCAAGCAATGACGTCGTAGCATCATCGATGAAGAGCGATCGACCTGCATTAGTGGACATTATGCGGCCGAGAAGCTTCTTCTGGGCGCGTAGCCCTAAATCGCGGGTGCGACTTCCAGTCCCACCACCAGCGGAATACGATCCGCCGCCTCCGCCTCCACCGCTACTTCCGATTGTGTTTACCGACTGCATCACTGCAATATTTTCGCACAGTGAACGACCGCTACTCGTGTGCATTGTGCGCATTTGTCCGCGTTTTAGCTTTTATTTAGCGGTAAATGCGACCGTGCGATCTCGGGCTTTATTCGTTTGAGGTGAAGCTCGCCCAGTAAAAGTCTTCAACCGTTAAGATATTGCAAATAACAATCATTTTCTCTTGTTTAATCTTATAATAACATTAATATTTAACGTCATTTAATATTAGAAATGACGCTATTCACAGCACGCTTCATCCGAGGGACATCCTGGAACGCTCTTTAAACGTAAGGACGTCTTCTGGATGTCTTTAGGACATCCGTTGGATGTCTATGCTAAGTATATATATATATCTAATATTACACTGAGAAAAAAAATTATTACAATTACCATAATTTAGCTATAATTTATAGTCATTTTTTGGGACAATTATATAATTTATAGTGGTTTTAATCATGTAAATACAGTCAATTGTGCTATTAATAATAGTCACACAATGTTTGAAAATCTTTAGGTTTATTTAGTTATTATTCCATACTTTTTAGTTATTATTAAATAATAACAAGTGAATTTAAAAAAAGTTCACTAAAATTGCAAATTTATTTATATATACATATATATTATAATCACAAATAGCGAACACTTTTCTCTCAGTGTATATAATCGTATATTAATATTTAAAATATTATTTAAAAATCGAATTTATATCAATTTAATATAAATTTACATTTTGTATTTATCTAACACAAGAATTTTCAATATTTCAAAATTATTGCGTAATAGGCATTACGTAATACAAGATTGCGTTTAACATGAGCTATATTTCACCCAACGATAAATATTTCGTAAAAAAAAAAAACTTCTTCAAATCTACGGTTACGAATAACTTATACTCGTAAACAAGGGAACAAAAGGCTTGCGTGTTTGAATGTGGTACAAAAGTAGAAAGTCTGACGACTTGGGGAGAGACGGAACGTTACAATTTCAACTTCCTGAGAATGGCGCGAAAGTGGCTGTACATCTCAACAAGGTCTTACAACTATAGCCCGATACTATAGTGCGTATATTTCTGTTTGCACACTTCGTACAATGAACTTACCATCAAGCATCGGTAGACCACCGTTTCCTCTGGATCGTGATAGCAGGATGGTAAATTAAATAAAGAAGCGGCGAACTGATTGTGCGTGAATAATGGTCCAGGCAAATTCAGGCAAACGTAACTAAAATAACCAAGGGTTAATAAACGACGTGTCATTAACAATTACATGCGTAACACAAATGTTGCGGTTTCATGGAAGTGCGCGAGACACGATGAATGGCGAATCTTCGCTACCTTGATTACAGTCGGTGACAGCCACTAAATGATAGAGCAACCAGCTCTGCAATTCCATTACGGCTGTGCCCCACGCCACCTGCAAAAATTTCAAAAAAGGTTTACAGAAAAATCTGCGAATATTTTTTAATATAGATAAATATTTTTAAACGTACATAAGACGCTAACACAAAGATTTGATGAGAAAATTGCATTTCTCAGAAAGTTACGTAAAGTTTCGTTTACGTTGAAGCTTCCGCGAAGTTCATCGCAGAAATAGAAATAAATAATAACGATATAATAAAATTATTACACTGCAGAAATTAATTTACGATTGTAATTTATATTATAACACAAATAGAAAAAAAATTAACATTTTGTTTTCAGAAAAGGAATTAAATATCGATATAATTCTCAAGGGATTATCGTCGCTTATAAATTTCTTTCAACTAAATTTTTCACGGAAATGTTTTGTATACATTAAAAAAAAAGTGTTTAATTTTAAAATATTAAAATATTTTATTCTTGTCTGTTTTTTAAATATTTAAAAATATTTTAAACTTTTTCAATGAACAAAACACTGTGAATTTGAAACACTAAAACGTTTAAAATTGAAATATCTTTTATTATTAAACGTTTATTTTGCAAAGATGTTTCAAACGTAAACATTTTAAACACTGCACTTTATACAATATTAGATAATTACAATATTACATAATTATATAATATAATAACATAATAATCAATATCGAGAGAAAATAGAGGAGAAATTTTTATGATTTTTTTATATTTCTTCATCCGTATAGTCTCATAAAAATTAATTATTATAAAATAAAATGAACAATACATGTATTTGTTCTAAATGGATTCAGCGAATTGTTGCTCGATTTCTCGAAACGCAAAGCCGCCACAAAGCCCGTCGAGATAGAGTTAATTACGCTTCGTTGCCTGAGCTAAAAGCATCATCAAAGATATAAATTGATTGGTTCATAATCCAAATGTATTCCTCGTGAGAGAAACACGCTTTTCAGCAATATAAAGATTTTTCGCATAAAATGAAATAATAAATACTGAAAAATAAAAATTTTTACACACATCTGTTTTCTCCAATTTATTATTAAATTCATAATGTCAAATTATACCTAATTTGAATCATTTTTAATTATTTAATATAAATTGTCATTGTTTCTACTTAATATGTCGTTAATTTAACTGAAACAATAAAGTTAAACAATTGAACTCAAAAAATTAATTTGACTCAAATTTAACTTATTACTTACTAATGCGAATATTGTTTATTTTGACTTCAACCAGAGAAATGTTTGAAAAATTAATGTAGCTATTTTTTAATTACATGTCGTGTATTAAAATAATACATTTTGACATATTTAAAAGTTAAAAATAAAATGTTATTTAATTTAAGGGATTATTTCAAATTTTATCCTTTAATATTTAACAATAAAAAATCACTGAAAGATATTCTTTATGTTTATCTCGTGTCTCATAAATATCTTATAAATGCCACCTACAGATTTTTACAATGCTATCAGCCTTGACACAGATAAAGGTTCTTTCAAAGGATAACTTCGGGAATACGATGTTTACTATCTTTCTTATATAAACTTTTTTATATATTTAAGCGCAGGATCACTCTAATGCCTATTTCCATCAATGTAGATCAACTTTAATCTCGGCTCTACCTATTCTTCATCTATTTCTGATTCTTACACTAGAAAAAAATAAAGAGTAAGTTTACTCTTTTGATTTAACCTAAATCAAAATTAAATCTACATTGGTGAAATATAAATCTACACGAATTCCTTTATAAACTTGTAAAAATATCTATTTTCAAACATTGCTGAATGTTTATTTATAAAATTTCATACAAAATGTTTTTAGGTCTAATTCACATATTTTTTTCAGGAAACTATCACTCAAATTCGTGTCAAAACGGATCATCGTAACACGTGGTCGAGGAGCTCTCTCTCTCACTCTTACAATTCATCTTAACAAGCGCGAACGATCCTAATGCTGGAAATGAAATGTAATACGAGTCGACGACATCCATGTCGTACGCTATCATTCGCATCTATACATACATACGGGCGCACAATATAAGGCACTACCTTTGCTAGAGTTGGATCGATTTAGTAAGGAGCGTCAAGGCGAGCCAGAGACTCTCATTCACCTTTGCACGGTCGAACTGACAACGGGCAATCGATTAAAAACTCAAGCGATTCGCGTCAATACTGTCTTCCGTTTTAGATATTTCGTTACTGCAGTAATATCGAATTCAATAAGACAAACTTCACGTGCAATACTATTATAAAGAAATCTTTCAGCTATGTAAAATAAGAATGTTATTTATTTCACATGAGCATTAAAAAATACATTAATGAAAGTACTTCCCATCACTTGTAAAACGCTACGAATTAATTCCAACACCTAATAATATCATAATTAATTTTTTAATAACAATGCTATTAGCATCTTAAAATACTAAAGAATTTTGTATTATATACGTATTGTGAAAAAATATTCTGGTTGAGAGGTAATATTTTTCGCAATTCGCAATAAGTCCTTTACAGTGTGTAAGATTGTGAAAAGCTGAAAGGTTTAAAAAATAAATAAATAGTGTTAATAATAAAAAATTCAGAAAAATGTTGGATATTAATTTTGAATTTCACACAATACGTATATGTCCGTTACAATATTTAATTTTCATTCACGAAATCTGTAAAACTCGAAATATTGTTTTATGTTATAGCAGAGATTTTTTTTTCCATAAACTCCGTTATATTATTTAAATTTTGAATAAGAAATTAGCTCGATTTTGACTCTTTTCGATGTTTATTTTTATCGGAATTTCGGAATAAGATCTCATCTTATTTCTTTAATTTCATCGTATTTTTGCAGAAAACTGCGATTGCGCGAATTCTTCTATCGAATTCTTTTATCGTTCATTGTTAAATTTTTAATAATTATCAAAATACAAGGCGAATATATATGATCGAGATTACAGATCTCGAAATACCTAGATATAATATTTTTATATGTAAATTCTAATTCTAAATACATATTTTAGTTATAGAAATTGCGTGCCGCTTCTTGTCGGACTTAAAACGCAATCATAAACTATACAGTTGAAATAATAATATCATAATTAAATCGATCATCTATTTGATAATGATGTTACTAGTATTTTAAAATATTGTATTTTAATTTCTTACGAAAAATATCTTGGCTGAAATAATATTTTTCGCAATAAGTTCTTTTCGCATAACGAGTTAATGCAATATTTTAAGATACTAGTAATAACATTATCAAATCGACGATCAATTTAATTACTATTATTTCAGCTTCATGTTTGCTTTATTCCTTTCCAGTCAGACAGTGAGCGGTGCACAATTTGTATAACCGAAAGATAAATTTAGAATTTACATATAAATTTACATATAAAAATATTATGCACCAAAATATATTCTCAATCATAACAGCTCTTTTCTTACTTAAAAGAAGAATAATAATGCATTGAAAAAATTTATTAAATTTTAATACATATTTTTTTAAATAACACTAAATAAATATTTACTTACAACAAATATTTATTTAATAAAAAAATAATAGTTAAATCAAATTAATGATTTTTGTATCAAATAGATATATGTTTATACTTGGTAAATATACTTTAGAACTCTATTCAAATAAATATTTATTAAAACTTAATATTTTTTTCAATGTACAGGAACGATAATACAAATAAAAAAGACGAAAATATAGACTAGATTTTAATCACTGAAATACACTTGAATAAATCTTAGAATAAAAAAAAAGAAATCGTCAATCGTTTAATCTCATTTTTCATTTTCATTAAAGTTATTATCACGTTAATATCACGTTCGCTTCATTATAAATATCCATCTTTGCAAATCATAGTACCACTGTTTCCGAATCCAGCAATCCGGACACGAAACTGCATAGGAATACGTTATGAATGATCGATCGTCAAACACTTTCGCTCTCTCTTTCTCCTCTCTTAAACTTTCCGCGGTAGTCGAAGGCTTTTGGGGCTTTGTTTAGGTGCCCACGTTGGCGCTTTTAGGTACCTGTTTGTGTCGCGTGCTCGTTCAAACAATACCGATCATTGCCAATAATCAATTGTTGCGCTGGACTGCGCAATTTCTCGCGGAAATATGCGTCCAAGTTAGTCGATGCAAAAATGTCACGTGTGCGAAAACGAAATTACGCACGCAGTAGATTTTCGACTGTTTGGCAGAATGGAAGAATAAAATTCTTTTCTCATCAGTCGATGATTTGCGATCGGGAAAATACATGCGCATATTTGCAAATTCTCGATAGAGAGAGAGAGAGAGAGAGAGAGAGAGAGAGAGAGAGAGAGAAACAGAACCTGTATTATTTTAGAAATTTTCTTTCCAATGAAAAAGAAAAATAATTTAATTTCATTGAAAAATACATTTTATAAAAAATTCATTTTTCCATCGAGCAGCGAATTTATTGACAGAATTTCTTTTAATTCTTATACAGAGATATATTATTCCTGGTAAACATTTACAGAGATTCTATTGCGAATCCGAACTCGTGGAAAACATCGATATCTTCTTTTTATTTCTAATCGAGCAAGGAAAAACCGTTTCTCCGTTAGCACATGACTAGTAAATCCGGTTACTTCGCAGTATCGAATAATTAACTCGAATAAACTGGAATCTCTTAAGGTAGCTATTTCTTCTCCGCATACATCTTTCACGACCGTCCATCAGGTGGCTTGTCTTCGGAATATTCGATCGGTAGCTATAAATAACCATGTGTATCTCTCGTGATTGATTCGATTTACCTTCCTCAACTAGCCTGATTCGATATGTATATGTCGTGAGTTTCACCGTGAAACTCAGCGTTCCACGAGGATCCTAGTCGCTTCGTGAAAACCAGTTTGGTTGTGACTCAGATCTTCGTAAAACGTATTCGTAGTGTGATATTTCGATATGCAATGTTTCCAGAATATTGCAAAAGAATTTGCAAATACCTCCGATTAATTTTGAATCAATTCTTGTACGAAAATGACCGTCTCATATATATATATAT